TGTGTGTGTGTGTGTGTGTGTGTGTAGTGTGCATTTGTATGCATGCAGTCTTTTCTTCTATAATATTAGTTGTCAAATATTCATTGTCTGACTTCTTTACAGATTCTCAAACTTTATGCATGGGAACCTGCCTATAAAAATAAGATTATTAAAATTCGAGATCAGGAATTGGAGTTTCAAAAATCATCTACATATCTTTCTATATGTTCTATGCTGATGTTAACTTGCATTCCATTTTTGGTAAGTGTATATATTTTCTCTTTTGATTTTTAATTTAACTTTATAGGTTTGCTTCCAAATTGCCTGAAATTAAAACATTTAAAGTAAAAATTTTATGTCTAAATTAAAAATTTTAATCATTTTAATCATTAATTTTGGGAGATTAGAGAACAAACAGCTCAAAGAAAATGTGTTCCTATTGGTTCATATTTTTTACACATTTTGTTCCTTTGAAATTTCTCACATTGAACATATGCCTTTTTAATTCTTAAAAAGAAAAATCTTCTCTTCAGAGCTTCATTATAGCTCTAAAGTTTCATTAGGCATGATTAATTCCTTTTAAGCAGCAACCAAAGGTACACTATATGGAGCTGGGAAGGGAAGTAACACTGAGTATTTTTCCTATGAGCAAGCCAAATTATATATGTTGCCTTTTTTTTATTCTCACAATAATATGAATTATTTTTCTCATTTCACAAGGGAAAATGAAAGTCTATAGTAGTTTGAAGACAACGTCAAACTTGTAGAGTTAGTCTTCAGCAGTGAATTGATATAAAGTGAAGTATTCTCTTTCTTTCACACCATTTAATCATCAGGTATCTCATGCTATTTAAACTAGAGTATAAATTGCCTTGAGAAATGAATCAAAGGGCAAGAAAACAAAGAACAAACAAACCATGTTCAACTGGACTTTAACTTTAATCAAAATGGGTACTCTAGGTAGTAATGAGAATCAGGGAAATTCTATATGTCTCCATGTTGATAATTTAAAATACTTTTTAATTCAAAAAAACAGATGGGTATCATAGTTGATATTCTTCAGTAAATAGCAAAGGGAAAGTATTGAAATTTTCTTCCCTAATTTTTAAGACTGTATAACTTGTTAGGTTGCAAGCAATAAATATATTTTTAAATTATGTATCTAATTTTAGGTGTCTCTGGCCACCTTTGGTGTATATTTCTCACTGGATGAAGGAAACATTTTAACAGCCACTAAAGCATTCACATCTATGTCTTTGTTTAATATTCTGAGGATTCCTCTTTTTGATTTACCAACAGTGATCTCAGCTGTGGTTCAGGTACATTCAGAGTATCCTTAAACTAAGAATCATTTCTCTATAAAATCAATGATTTTGTACATTTAATTTTTTTGTCATTTTATATCATATATTCCCTTTTTGTAGTTATTTAACTCTGCATTCAAAATTTGTTTTCCTGATTCAATAAGTGGTAGAGAACATTGTGACTTTTAAATATTTCAACACGTTACGTTATTTTCATTGTTAGGTGTTGGTTTCTTTTACTTAGCTCCTGTGTCATCACAGAGTTCACTTGGTTATAACTGAAGGTTTATAATCAGGTGCTTTGTATGAACCCAGATCTGAAGGTTTTCCCTGGATTCAGCAACATGTCATCACTACTGAATAAGCAAGACAAGCAGTGAGAAAGTGCAGTGATAACACCAGTCTGATTAAAAAAAAAAAAAAAAAACCTGAGAGCTGGCTTGGGCATGCTTTTAGGTGTAACCTCTAGTCCATAGAGACTATTTAGCTACTACAATGAGTAAAAACTGCAAAAGCCTCAGGGCATTCAAAAAAGTGAGTTCCTGTATCCTTCTTTTCCCACTGAGATTCACTCAGTTAAAATCATG